CCCAGTTTAGCCTTCAAAGCAAATTGAGATCCAGTTGTCTGGGGGAAATATTCCCAGATTTTTATAGCTTTCTCTTCCTATAGATATGTGACATATAAATAAGATAGTTCTTATTCCCAATGGTTACTCTATTTTTAAAAAATAAACTTTATTTTTTAGATTAGTTTTAGATTTACAAAAAAAAGCTAAAGCTAATATGGGGAGGGCGAAAAACCTGGAATTTATTTTTTAAAAATTGTGTACTTATTCTTACATGTTTAAGCTTCAGTCACCTTCAAAGTACTCTCCATTGGATACAATACACCTATCGAGATGCTTTTCCCACTGCTCAAAACAGTTTTTGAACTCATCAATTTTGATGCCTTTCAGTACTTCTGCCATTTTTTTGTTTTACCTCCTCCACATTGGCAAAACATTTTCCTTTGAGGACTTTTTAAATTGGGGAAGCAAATCGCTAGGGTGAGATCAGGTGAATAGGGAGGGTGAGGTATGGGGTTCATCCTGTTTTTGGTCAAAAACTGCTGAACACTCAGTGCGGCGTGGGCAGGTGTGCTTGTAAATCATCCATCGTGAAATGGGCAAATGGTGAAAGAATCTCCAAAAAAAATTTACTGAAGCCGGAATGCAGCCGCTTACAATAACGCTAATAGGTTCGCTGATGCTGATGGGTTCCTAGAACACTTACCAAGTGGGGAAGCCTGTACTACAAGGGGCCCATACCCCAAAAAATAATTTGGTTTTTTGGGGGGTTCCCCTTATATAGGGAGTTCCCGTACATCCACATTCAATTCCCCTCCCCCTTTTTGTTTCTTGAGACAGGGTCTCACTCTGTTGCCCATACTTGAGTGCAGTGGCACAATCATAACTTGCTGCAGTCTCCTGGCCTCAAGCAGTACTCCCACCTCAGCCACCCAAGTAACTGGGACTACAGGTGTATTCCTCTACACCTGGCTAATTAAAAAAAAAAATGTTTATAGAGATATGGTCTCACTGTATTGCCCAGGCTGGTTTCAAATTCCTGACTTCAAGCAGTCCTCCTGACTCACCCTCCTAATGTTCTAGGATTACAGGTGTTAGCCACCACACCTGGCCGGTTTCCCGTCTTATTTTTTATTTTTGAGTCAGAGCCTCACTCTGTTGCACAGGCTGGAGTGCGTTGGCATGCCCATGGCCACCACAGCCTCGACCTGCTGGGCTCAGGTAATCCTTCCACTTCAGCCTTCCAAGTAGCTGGAACCACAGGTGTGCGGTACCACACCCAACTAATTTTTTAATTTAGTATAGAGTCGCATTCTCACCATGTTGTCCAAGCTGGTCTTGAACCTGTGGGCTCAGGTATTCCTCTCGCCTCCACCTCCCAGAGTGCTCGGATTACAGGCATGAGCCACTATGCCCTGCCATTTCCCCTATTATTAACATATTATATTAGCATACATACAGCATTTGTTACAGTTAATGAACCACTATTGATCATTCTGTTATTCATTCTTAAGTCAGTCAAGAGTTAAGACAAAAAAATAGATGAAGTTGCCTACAGATTTTTAATAGTAAAAGTCTAAAAAATACTGGCTTGAGCCAGGTGCAATGACTGCTGCCTGTGATCCCAGCTACTTTAGAAGTCGAGGTGGGAAGATTGCTGGAGGCCAGGAGTTCAAGATCAACCTGGGCAACATAGTGAGACTCTGTTGCTACACACTTTTTTTAAGTGAGCAGGGTATGGTGGTACAAGTCTGTAGTCCTCGCAAATCAGGAGGCTGAAGTGGGAGGATTGCTGGAGCCTGAGAGTGCAAGGTTGTAGTGAGCTGTGATATCACCACTGTACCCCAGCCTGGGCAACAGAGCAAGACTCCCATCTTTAAAATGGTCGCTCAAGCCTGTAATCCCAGCACTTTGGGAGACTGAGGCAAGAAGATTGCCTGAGCCCAGGGGTTTGAGACCAGCCTGGGCAACTTGGCGACACCTCTTCTGTATAATAAACAAACAAATAAAATCAGCCGAGCATGGTGGCACCTGCCTGTGGTTCCAGCTACTTAGAAGGCTAAGGTGGAAGGAGCACCTGAGACCAGCAGGTCCAGGCTACAGTAGCCATGATCTTGTGACTACACTCCAACCTGGGTGACCAAATGAGACTACAACTCAGAAAACAAAACAAAATAAAACCAAAAAACTGGCAAGCTTTCCCACAGCTGCTGTACCATTTTGCATTCCCAACGCAATGTGTCAGGATTCCAGTTGCTCCACATCCTCACCAGCAATTGGTATTATCAGTCTTTTCTGTTTTAGCCATCCTAGTGGGTGTATAATAGTATCTCATTGTAATTTTAATTTGCATTTCCCTAGTGGTTAATGATATGGAGCCACTTTCTGTGTGCTCATTTGCCATTTTTGTATCTTCAATATTCTGCCCACTTTTTGTTGGCTACTTGTCTTATTGAATTATAGGAGTTACCTATCTATGTAAAGAATTGTTTTAGCCGGGCTCGGTGGCTCAGCCTGTAATCCTGTGTTTTGGGAGACTGAGGTGAGTGGATTGCCTGAGGCCCACGGGTTCGAGACCTGCCTGGGCAAGTTGGCGAGACCTCATCTCTATAATAAATTTAAAAAAAATAGCCGGGCTCGGTGGCTCAGCCTGTAATCCCGCGCCTTTGGGAGACTGAGGTGAGTGGTTTGCCTGAGCCCGCGGGTTCGAGACCCACCTGGGCAGCAAGACCTCATCTCTACAATAAATCAAAAAATCAGCCGGGCGTGGTAGCGCATGCCTGTAATTCCGGCTACTCAGAAGGCTGAGGGGGAAGGATCGTCGGAGCCCAGCAGGTCGAGAGCGGTGGCCGGGAGCGGCCACTGCACTCCAGTCTGGGCGACAGAGTGAGACTCCAACTCAAAAAAAAAAAGAAAGAATTGTTTTAACATTTCTTGACCAAAACAGCATATGTTTTAAAGTTCATCTTCGTTGTGTAAATAAATGTAGAAAGCTGTACTAGCTGGGTACTGACCTGGAACATTGAGTTGTTTTCCATATGTATGTAACTAAAGAATAGATATAATAAAATAGAAATACTTTTGTGTGCCACTCCCTTTGTCCAAGATGAATGAACCCATCTCTCCAAACCAGGTCTAGGGAATGCTGAGTTTTTTATTTGTTTGCTTAAAGAAAATTTGTAATTTGATAGTTGTTGGGCAGGATCCTGTGACTGTGAGATCCCATCTTGTGGCTGTGTTTCAGGTGTTTTTTTTAAGTCACATATATCTGTTCCAAACAGTATTCTCATTTTCCTCGTATACTCTGTGGCGACTGACCAACTGCCAAACAAACTTTTAGACCCATTAAATAGCCAAGTAAAATAAACATTGGCTCTTGGAAACAGGGGATTCAAATATACAAAAGGAAGAGGTGTGACTTACTTTACACTGTGATTGGTTAAAAATCAATGGCAGTAACTGCGCTCCGTGGCTCAGCCTATAATCCCGCGCTTTGGGAGGCCAAGGTGAATGGATTGCCTGAGCCCGTGGGTTTGAGACCCACCTGGGCAACTTGGCAAGACCTTATCTCTACAATAAATCAAAAATGAGCTGGGGTGGTAGCGCACACCTGTAGTTCCAGCTACTTGGAAGGCTGAGTCTGAAGGATCGCCAGAGCCCAGCAGGTCGAGGCTGCGGTGGCTGGGAGCAGCCACTGTACTCCAGTCTGGACGGCAGAGTGAGACTTCAACTCAAAAAAAAAAAAAAAAAATCAATGGCATTTTCATGTATATGTGTATATTCCTGTGGCCAAATAAAACTGAATAAAGTTAGAAATAGTCCCATTAATTGTTGGATTATTATGATGTGTTCACTGTCAACTCTCTTGACAGACAGCAGGAGATCACATTTCAGTTACAACTCCTTTCTTTTTTTTTTTTCTGAGTCGGAGTCTCACTCTGTCACCCAGACTGGAGTGCAGTGGCCGCTCCCAGCCACAGCAGCCTTGACCTGCTGGGCTCCGGCGATCCTTCTGCCTCAGCCTTCCCAGTAGCTGGAACTACAGGCACATGCTACCACTCCCAGCTTATTATTATTATTTTATTTTTATTTTTATTGTAGAGACGAGGTCTCACCAAGTTGCCCAGGCTGGTCTTGAACTCTTGAGCTCAGGCAGTCCTCTCTCCTTGGCCTCCCAAAGTGCTGGGATTATAGGCTTTAACCACCACGCCCGGTATCTCCTTGTAATTAAGAAAAATATATTATAATCCTTGTCTTCATGGACCAAAAAATAAATAAATTTTTAATGTTGGGTGAAATGAATAGAGCTAATCCTCTAAGAGACCTAAGTAATTAATATAGAACAAAATCATCATCTTGTAGATTTTATTGACTTTTTACCTGTACTTAGTGTTTGTTCTTAGTGTTGTTAGTATTTATTTCCAAAATAATCGATAGACCTGTTGGCTTAGCCTAGAAATTGGTTCAGAAAAGTATTATGAATGTGGTAATTGTAAAAATGTATTTGTGTATGTGACTGGAAGGACAGAATTTAATAAAATAAAGACCTCTTCCCAATTGCATCAAGTATTACTTTATTTTATTTTTTTTGAGTTGGAGTCTCACTCTGTGACCCAGGTTGGAGTGCAGTGGAATGCTCACGGACAACCCAGTGTCGACCTACTGGGCCATGGCAATCCTGCCTCAGCCTTCCAAGTAGCTGGAACTACAGGCACACGTTACCACACCCGGCTAATATTTTTTGATATATTATAGAGATGAGGTCTCGCCAAGTTGCCTGGGCTGGTCTCAAACCAGGCAATCCACTCGCCTTGACCTCTCAAAGTGCTGGGATTACAAGTTGAGCCACCGAGCCCGGCAAGCATCAAGTATTATTGAGACCTGACTGACATGTAAAAATAGCAGTAGGAGAGACCTTGAAGTCCTCCTCATTCTGGGGGAGAATCTTTCTGGGGGTATCAGGGTCTAAATATGCTGGAACTTAATACAACTAATGTCTGTTTTCTTTTGAAAAGCTGAACACCTGTTTTGCCTTTGTGTCTTGCCATTCCTCTGAAGAACAGAGGCACGTAATAAAATTCCACACTTCCTTTGCATTCTATGAGGTAGGTAGAACCTTTGAACCTTAATTCAAACACCAAAAAAAGTGATTTGCAGTGTTATCTGTTTCCATATATCTCGCTGCTGACTTGGAGATGAGGTGATCTTGCTGTCATATCCTACTTTTATTGCTAGGCCTATAGTAGCTTTAGACGATCTGACAGTATGGTTTTGTAATATGGGTGGGTCTTGGATATGAACCTGGTTCTTGCTGACCACTTCTCAAAGTAAAGAGTAGGCTTCCATATTTCCAAGTGATCTAAGTTTTTAACTGTTTGCACTCAGAGACATCTTGTGGATAACCTACCAGCAACTCAACCATACATTATTATGAAATAGTGAAAAATGAATCATTTCATATTAAATAGTATAGTGTTGGAACCAATTATTTTATTGTAATGATATTTGGCTTATAATGCAATTTTGGACATTGGGGAACTTATGACAAAAAAATCAAAATTTAGCCGAACTTGGTGGCTCAACCTGTAATCCTGCGCTTTGGGAGGTTGAGGTGAGTGGATTGCCTGAGCCCACGGGTTCAAGACCTGCCTGGGCATCTTGGCAAGACCTCATCTCTACAATAAATAAAAAAATTAGCCGGGCATGATAGCGCATGCCTGTAGTTCCAGCTACTTGGAAGACTGAGGTGGAAGGATCGCCGGAGCCCAGCAGCTCAAGGCTGCGGTGG